ATTTTTACTGACCTGAAGCTGCACATATCATGTTAACTTTGTGCAAAACCTAAAGCCTGTTATACATTCTTACAAGAGTGGTGATGAACCACTTCTTAAACTGATATATTTACAGAACAAAGTTTTGCTAGTTTACAGTGAAATCCTACTAAAAGTATAGTGAAGATCTATCTGATGTGTTTGACTATTAATCTGAAGTTCAACTGATGTTCATATTGTTTTGTTGGTGAGATTATTCCCTTGTGAGTGTCATAAAGGCAAGTCCACCGTAGCCAGGTCACAGTGTGCGCTCAGATCTCTACGTCTTGCTCAGCTAAGTGAAGCTGAGGGAACAGCAGCAGGAGAGGAGAAGACTGAGAGGTAGAAAGGATCTTTTTATATCAGTTTTGAGTCTCCAGCAACATTAAAACATTGAAAAGACTAGAAAACTTAAAAATTGGTGATCCCAGGACAAAATTATCTGAGACAAAGTGTTATGTTGAAGGCTGTTGGTTTATCGGTTGTTTTTTTCTTCCCACTCCCATAACTTCTTTTATGTATGAGGTCTCTGACAAATAGGTCCCAGACGAAACAGCTGAGTGGTGTATTTGCATGAGAAATAAAATTAAAACATTGTGTACCTCTGGTGTTTGAGGTAATGACATCACATGCTTCTCAAAAATAGTTTCAAAAATCTGTGTTCAAAAGTGCAGAGGAGTTGTAACCTTCTAGATCTTCACTAATTAGTGATTGGGGAACATCCAAGAAAAGAAAAAAAAAAAAGAAAAAAAAAAATTTTACTAGTTTCCTTGTAGAGGTGCACTGAAAGGTCATATGTTTAAAGGCTGAGTTGCATAAAGCAGAATTCATTGTCTACTGATAAGAATTAAGAGATTTGTTCTTTAAAAGTCCTGGAACCTATACTTCAATGTAAAATGTAATGTCTCCCTGAAAATTGAAGAAAAAAACATTGATTAACTTGTATTGGTATTAATTTAAAGCAGATCATTCAGAGAGCCACTGTCAAGCAGTTTTTTCCCGGAAATCTTACTAGCAAAACAAGACAAGCTCTCCAAACTCTCCATAGAGTGAAGTCAGCTTATACACCATATTTTAGCTCTGACAGGATCCCATTGTAATGCTGAGCATAGCCAAACACACAACAAAGTCCACAGTTCGTGTCATTCCGAAAACTATGTTGATATCAGAAGGAATCAAAGCACAGCTCTTCAACCAGCTTTTGTTCTGTGGTTCTACTGACTGAAATGAGTCAGCAGTGTGAGGAGAAACGTGTATGTGATTAGACTTCTCAGGGGCAGGTTGGCCACCAGCCTTTCCCAGATGAAAGTGTCTTAAAACCTGGACAGTTATAGGTTAAGGGCCATATGGTCTGGCTGCACTTCCTCTATGTGACTTGAAGGAAGGTTGTAAACAAGATAAAACTGACAGTCTACTTTAGCATTGCTGTAAAGTGGGGAAAAGCAGTGAGATTATATCAAGAACACTAGATTGCAACTTTTTAATCCCCCCCACAAAAAAAAAAAAAAAAAAAAAAAAAAAAAAATTCAAAATTTCTAACTTGCACTGAAGCCTGAAGATAAAGGATAGCTTTGTTGCTATTCCCTAACTAGATGCAAGGAACAACAGAAGTTTGACAGTGATTTAGAGGAAATCTTAATGAAACTAAAACCTCCAAACACCCTTGAGTCTGCCTACTAGTGAAAAAGAGATACAAAATTATTTAAAAGCTGCTTGAATGTTTGTGGACTGCGCTGCATCGATTTAAATAGACATTTTTTCATAGCTCTTGGCATTATTACGCACATGGATATTTATTCCTTGTCCTGAGTATGCCTGCAGTTTTCCTGCATATTTTTCTGTCTGGTTTCAGGATATACCAGCAGTCTTGAATCTTTCGGATACAATGGGGATAGTTGATTATTCTGAAAAAGGAAATTATCTGGTGTCAAACAGATGTGAGAAACCTCATTTTTTTCCAAAATGTTGCTTATTGGAAAGAGTGGGACTTTCTGGATTGCAGGTGTGATCTGGAAATGTATTTCTAGATCTACTAATGAAGGATATACACATACACACGTGCATGTGTATAAGTGACTGAATGTGTGAGCGAATGAATGAGGGAAAAGCACAAAGCAGGTGAACAGGTGCTCTCTAGTGTTAAAAGTGGTGATCAAACAGATGATGGCAATTACGAGTAGGGGAAGGGGTCTGGCAGAGTGGCTTCAAAACTGTCTAAAGCAATTTTACCTTGACAGGAGGCGTCCACAGTGCCAGCATCACCATGGGGAAGAAACAGTGGGAGAACTCCATTTATATACATCTCCTTCAATTGAAAGAGGCCAGCTTATACATCCTCCTCAGGCACCAAAGTGCCCAGACCTACTTCTTGCCTATTACCATGTCAGAAGAATTGGTTTTTACGTGAACCCTTAAAACAGAGTCCCTTCCCTTCCCTTCAGTCCCTTCCATTAAATGGTCCCATTTTCCCCTTACTCTGTCTATCACTGACTTTGAAGGCACACCAGGCGCTGAAGGGACTGAGCCTCCCACTAATTCTGAAGCACTCTCTCCAAGATGCTTTGGCTGAGTATGAAGCTCAGGCCAAGATGAGGAGCTGACTGCCTGGCATCGAGTGGGAAGCACTGCTCCCCTCAGCACAGTACCCGACTTGGAGCCACAGGCAGGGATGGAATGCGTGGCAGAGGCAGCGGCCCAATGAGCCCCTCGGAGCAAGTAGGGGAACCTCCGTGCCTCCACCTCCCCCACACGCATTTCTCTGTTCAAAAACAAGATGCAATTATTTAACATTTTTCTCCTTTTTTTTCTTCCCCCTCCCATCTTTTTCCTGGTCAAGAAGGAGGATCTATTCCACCTGTGGATTGTACACTTATTCTAGCCCTGAGAAACACCACCTGCTTTTCAGGTGAAAATAGCAGGCTCCTAGAAAGCTTTGGAGATCTTTTCTCCTATCCCTACGGATACATATTTGCTTGTATTTCCCTAAGCAGAGAATGACTAAGACTCCTAATAACAGTGTGACATATGGGAAGAATATTTTCTAAGCCCCAGATCTGCTTTTTAGAGATCCACTTTAGTTTTCTTTTTTTTTCCCTAACACAACATTCCCCCCTCCCCCTCCTCCCCCCCCCCATGAGGCCATAATGCATCATAACATCCCAAAAGGGGGGAGCTAAATCCTCCTGAAGGCTGCCCGTTGTGAGCGCAACATTTCAAAGACACGGATACCCTGGAGGAGAACAAAAGAAAAAGAAAAAAAAAGCCGTAAATAAGGGATGGGAGGATAATTTTTGGCTATTTGAGCGCGTTTGTGTGTTATAGAGAGGCGTTAAATCCTGAGCGCTTCCCTCGGCAGAGCCCTCTTTAGCTGTGTTTTGAAAGCAGAGTGAGCTGTGAGCTATGGCACTCTTACTATAAAGGAAGAAAGAGGAGAAGGGGTACGGGGAAGCGGCTACAGCTCCTGCGAGCAGTGCACATCTCCGTGCAGGTACCACGGGCGACAGCAGATAATAGGGTTCCCAAAGGCACCGAGTGCCATGTGAAAAGAAAGCCGGGGGAAGGCGCTTACATAAACAACCGCGCTGCGAGCGCTCGGAGCACCGGGGAACTCATTGCCACAGCGCCCCCTCCCATGCACGGCTCGAAATAAAGGTTCCATCCCGAGGAAAGGGAAAGAAAAGTTCTTTCTGTCCGTTTCTCCCTTTCGGTTTGACTCTTGTTGCTCTAACCTTGCCCGGCGCAAGGGCTCGGCCGGCTCCTCGTTGGCTCGAGGTGCGCCTCAGCCGGAGGAAGCCTCGGAAGGAGGGCTTCTTGTACTGGAAAACTGGACAAGTCCGCTCGCACAGTATGCGTGTGTCATTTGTTATTTTTAAATACAATAGCCTATTATTTCACGTCGTTGTCTCCGGGAGATGGTGGCGGCCCCCCATTTCATGAGAGAGAGGAGAAAGCGTTCCCAGCCCATTGTGTGGTTATGTCACAGGAAACTGTTTGTGCTGCACATTGTGTTGCATCTCCAAATCCCACCAAGTTCCACTTCGCTCTGCTTCAAAAGTTGCTGGGACCGGTGTCACGGCAATTGGGTAACCGGCATTGTCCGGGCGATGGGCGTGCGCGGCTCTCCGGGCCGCGGGGAGCATTCCTGAGGCAGGCAAATCTCCGCGCCAGCTCGATTTGCGCTGCTTTGCCCTCCCCGAATGACATGTCGAGGAGCGGGGCCGAGGGTACACGGCACCGAGCGCCGCGCTCCGCGCAGCCGTGCGCGCTCGAAGCGCGCAGTGCGCAGAGCGGGGGGAGAGCAGCGGGGAGCGGGCTCTCTCCTTTTGCTTCCAACTTCACCGCCCGAAAACTTCATACCCTTGCACTGGGGAGAGATAGCTCAGAAATGGCAAAACCTGTCTCCCATGAGGGCGGTGAGCAATAGCTGGGAAGGGGCAGGGGTATGGAAAGCTCTCGGCTCCCTGCTCAGCTGTGCAGGATGGAGCAAAGTGAATTAAAAGAAGACAAGGCGAGAGCAGAGCTTAAAATCTAGGAAGGTAAATGCTGACCTAATGAATAGATGAATCAAATAAAGAACGCACTGTGTAAAAGCCTTAATGTCTCTGTGTAGGCATGTTAATTTGCCACAGTTATTACCAATAAAAAGTGCATGTAATACTATTTTACTGTTTGACAGCTCAAGTTAGACGGCATTTTATTAGTATTACAATGGGAAAATTAGATTTCAGCTGGGGAGCCGGGCAGATGAAAGCTCCATTCCCTTCGTTCAGATGAAGGTGTTCAGATCCCAACCGGGAGAACTCCGGCAAGAAGTTGAACACAACCACGTACGCTGAACAATGTTTAAAAGCGTTATGGACGCGGTTTTCCCGTTCGTTCCACGCGAAGAGTTCGCCCTGGACTGTCTCAGTGTCCCCAACAGCTCCTCGCTCTGTACTGTCAAATTCGTGGTGTAATCGTGGAAATAAAACGCAGAGCGTTGCCTCGCAGTGGGTAAATCCATGGCTTTCTGAAGCCCGACAAAAAATGACGCAAATCAAACCAACGTAAAAACTCGCCTTTTGAATTGAGAGTATATTGTCCCATTCACACGTGATTGCGAAATTAACCTCGTTTCTGTGTATAAAACATTGATTTTTGGACAGCAGATATTACAGCATCAGACATATAATCTGTTGCTCATTGTGTTTGAAGGAAGGGGCTGATGGTCTTCATTTAAACATTCGTCCCATCGAGAGGACAGGCAGAAATATTTTCACTGAGCGAAGCAGAAGGAGGCAGAAACAACACCTACAATTGCAAGGAAGTGTTCGTGAACCTGCGTGTGTGACACATGGATGTGGTTGGGGCTCTGCATGGAGATCCCTATCTATGCGTGCATGTGTGGCTGTGCGAATCTTCGCACACTCTGAACTGAATTACATCGATTCTCCCGGGATCGCGGTATTTATTTAAGTACTCTTCCCAGGTCATAACTGTAACACTCACTTAATAGCATTAATCCCCTGTTATAATGTAAACACAACGGCCATTGTATTCCCAATCTGCATTGTTCCACTAATTATTAAAGAGGAGGAACTAAAAGCAATCAATTCACGGAGCTGAACGCTCTCTCGCACCACCCCTGCTGGAAAGAACAGAGCTGGCTTCCCAAATCAAAATGCGGAGGGTATGGTGCGTTTTGCAAGGCGGGCAGGTTGACTTGCAGAGATTCATGTATTACTTTATAATGTTATAATTAATTTTGCATTCTTAGCTCTCCAGCTGCTGCTCCGTTCAAAAGCAGAGCTCATATACTTAGAAACCGGTGAGCGGAACACAGGAATTGACTATTCAGATGTAATCGCGTGATATCGATTATTCCACAGAACTACCGAAATATGAATGTGCTTTATATAAAAGCCCTTGTTTTTCGAGTTTCTATTTTTGTGTAATATATGCGCATTCATCATCAAGCTGGGAAGGAAGCGTCTTTTCTGTAATCTGTTGCTGTGAGTTTAGCAGTGCTTTATCACTCCCTTATCAGGAAGCCGGGAGTTAATGACAAGAAATACCTGTTGGTGTTAACCTCCTCCCCTCACCTGCCTGGCTCGGGGCTGCCTCTTCCACAGGCCGGGGCTGATGGAGCTGGTGGGAATTCATCCCTCTGCCTGGTGGCCAGATATCTGCTGCTGCTGTGCACAGGGGCAAACTGCTATGTGGGCTTCACAGAAAAAAAAAAAGAAAAAAAAAAAAGAAAAAAAAAAGGAAGGGATAGAAAATCAAATAGAGAAGGAAAATGGGATGCTCAGATTGCTCCAGCATAGGCATCCCGAAGCCTGAGCAGAGTTTTCAGACGGCATTTCCCCCGCTGCGTCCGCGGGACTGCAGCAGCGGCTTCTCGACGTGCATTTTTTTCCATTAGCCGCGTGTTTAATTGATTAACAATGGGCTGCCCTGCTCACCCGCAGCGAGCCACCCCCTCTTCCCAGCTCCGAGCCGCTTTGTCGACATACCTGGGCGCTCCCCAATAATATTACCTCGGATATTGCCTGAACTCGGCCGCAAACGCGCAGCGATGTTTGGTTAGACAGGGGGCCACATTGTGCTCACTCACAAGTGCTGCAGAAATAAAACGCATTGTTCGATGAACCTTTTTTGTTTTGTTTTGTTTTGTTCCTCCCTCACCCCCACCTCCCAGAAGCGCAGAGGCTCCTCATCCTACGCGCAGTGCGGCTGAAGG